CGTCGCAAAGGCGCTTTCACAATTGTTTGGAATGTTGGAGATACGAAAGTTCGCAGGGCCCGCGACTTTCCGAAATTCAGCGCTACCGAACTTATGCTACATTACAATTCATCGGACAATCCTCCCTCTCCCAGATTGAAAAATCCGAGAGTTGGACAAGTTTTCAAAGCTTAGAGGAATGTTTTCAACGGACGAAATTTTAACGTCAACATTATTCTTCAAATCAACTATTACGCTCATTATTTTACAAAGCAGAAAGAAGTCGATTGTCCAAACGCAATGGCTTAGTTCTGGGTGTTATCGAAGATTTCGTGAAAATCTGTAGATTTCACCGCAAAAGATCCTTCAACCGGAGGTATCTCAATCAAATTGGTTTTCCTGTGTCGTTGCATTAGTTGGTCATCAGCGACTTCGATGCAGAATTAAATACACCAATACATGGCAAATTTTACGACATATTATTCAATCAGAAATCGTTATTAGCTAGTCTTACAAAATTTAAAAATTAGCAAACTAATTTTTTTCATTGTCGGGGGGAATTGTGTAGCAAGTACATAAGGATAGTTACTGTGTATTTTAATATTTTCACCACTTATTGTTAGTAGTGCATGTTATTTGCCTGAAACAAGGTCGTTGTCCCAATTCATTTCCTTTATGATATATTTTTCTCGCTCAGTGTAGCTTGTCAGTCAGTCAGTCAGTAGTTTATTTTATCACAAACCGAATGTAAACATTGACGAACAAAATTGAAAAAATGAAAAATTACATTTCAGTGTGAAGGGAGACGCGATAAACCAGAGAAGGTTATCGAGCAGCGTCACCTTTGAGGCAGTAAGTCTAATATTAAATCATAATGAGAAAGAAGTCAAACATAAAATACTAACAAAAGCCGGACTTGAGACGCCATTAAGCGACCCGTTAACCCGGATAATAACGAAAGAAAGCAACTCCAGACACGACAGGCCGCGGTCGCTATGGTGACCGCATATCATTGAACAACCAACCAAGAGAGCCGGACTGCCGGTGGTTATTCTGTGGCTGCGCTAAGGACTTTTGTACCGGTATCGCATTTGAGAGGGACATCACCGGATAGTTTTAATTAATTTACAAGCTAAGCAATGTTTTAAATTCACACTCGTGGGGCAATGCAGAGGCTGTGTGTTGGGGGTAAATAATATATATACCATAACAAGAAGAAGAGTTAGAAATGGGAAAAAAAAATAAATAAGAGGTAAGTTAAACATTATTCTGATGTATGCTAAGTGGTTGTTAGACCGAAACGTTGTTAGCGTAAAACATTACATGATACAAAAGATGCACATTATAAAGAATGGTAAAACCAGTAGGATATCATACTATGAAAGTTGAAACATAGAACTTGTGCATTTGAGTGTTGACCAGATACCACAAGGTAACAATCGAGCAATTTTAAGAAGTAGTTCACAAATTCAATAAAAAGAACACGACTTATTAATTTCACTGTACAACATATAATCTATAAACAGAAATAAGGATGAATAATTAATTCACTGTGCGATATACTATAATAAAGTATCACAAAATAATCCAAGCTTTTAATTCCAGGTGATGTCGATTTGAGGGCTGTGGATCAAGTCAGGTATTATCTTGATAAACACGAAGGAAGGGTAAAAGTGTGACTTGACAAGTTCAAGAGGCCTGGTAAGAAGAGATCAGAAGATTTTTATATTTAAATTTGAAGGTCACATAGGATGAGTCATGTAGGTCTTGGGGTAGGTTATTCCAAATTAAAACGCCTTTGTATTTTAAAGAGTTTTGGGATTTGTTAAGTGAAAAGCGAGGTACAAATAAATTACTCTTTGTCGAGGAACGAGTGTTGTGGTCATGTACTGAGCTAAGTGTCACAAAGTAATGCTCAAAAGCTGCTGGTAATTGATTGTTTTGGAATTGATGCATAATCTTAGCAATCTCTAGCTTATGGATATCAAGTAATTTTAACACTCTATGATTGTGGTATAGAATGTTTAAGTTAAAACGTGAAGGTGCCCGGGAAAGAATTCTAATAGCCCTATTTTGCAGAATTTCTAAGTTACGCAAATTTTTTCGAGATGTAGAACCCCATGCAGCAATAGCATACTGAATGTGGGATTGGAAAAGCGCGAAGTAGATGGTCCTCAGAGTAGAATCCTGTAAATAATATCTGAGCTTACCCAGAATCCCTACAGACCTTGATAGTTTCTTATGCAACTCATAGGTGTGCGTGTTCCACTTTAATTGGTGGTCAATATTGAGTCCAAGATATTTAAAAGAATCGACTACTTCTAATTTGTTACCCTTAATTTCAACTGAGAGTTTTGGGTATTTGATGCGAGAGTTTGGGCTGAATACCATGATTTTAGACTTATCTTTATTTACTGTTAGTTTGTTGCATAACATCCATTCATAAATTTTATTTATTTCAGTGTTCATATTAAGTTGAAGAGTGGCTGGGTCCTTTGCGTTGGCGAGCAAGCAAGCATCATCAGCAAACAATTTACTCAAGAGGTTCGAGCAGTTGGACAAGTCGTTTATGAAAAGGAGAAAAGCTAATGGGCCAACTACGGAACCCTGAACAATTCCGCAGTGGATGGGCAACATTGGAGATCTGTGTGGGCCTACTTCAACAAATTGGTAACGACCCGTCAGGTAATTGGATAATAGTTTGCCTGCATTACCTCTAAAACCGTAATGTTTTAACTTATGGGTGAGAATAGTGTGGTCCACAGTGTCAAAAGCCTTTTTTAGATCTAAAAAGGCACAACAGACATAGTCGCCTTTGTCTATTTTATCATAGATAAATGAAGTCAAATCAAGTATAACATGACTGGTTGAGTGTTTGGCCTGGAATCCGGATTGGCATTTGTTTATCAAATTAAATTTGGTACAATAACTCATCATTCTAGTATAAATCAACTTTTCCGCTATGATGCTAATTGAGGATAAAATGGAAATTGGTCTATAGTTCGAAGGGTTATTCTTTTTACCACATTTAAAAATTGGTATTACTCTAGCCATTTTCAATGAGGAAGGATATATGCCTAGACTAAACGATGAATTGAAAAAGTGACTTAGTACCGGTGATATAATATCGGCAACTATTGTTAGGAAATAGGAGGAAATACCATCGGGCCCAACAGCTTTACCCCTTTTCAGGTTCCTGATTACATAGAGAACTTCCGAAGGTGTTGTTAATTCAAGAAAGAAAGAGTTCTGCGAAGGTACACCTAGAAATTCGGTACATGATTTTGAGCAACCTGCGATTTTATCTGCAAGTTTCTTCCCTATGGTTGAGAAGAATTTATTAAATTCGGTGGCCACTTGAACTGGATCAGAAACTGTGGTACCATTTTCTAGTATCAATTCTGAGATGGTGGTGTTATCTCTTGACTTAATTTTGATGATGTCATTGATGGTTTGCCATGTGCGTTTCACATCGCCTCTGTTGTTCACTAGAATATTATGGTAATACTGTTGTTTCGATTTTCTCTGCAAATGAGTTAGAATGTTTTTGTACTTTTTGTAGTGAAGACGCTGGGATGCATTTCCCTTCAGATACATTTGCTTGAACATATTATTTTTGTGTTTGATTGACTTATGGATTCCCCTGGTAATCCAGGGCTTAGAATACAATTTATTTTCTCTACGTGAAAGTGGGCGGAGTGGTGCATGTTTGTTAATTAACCACTTAAAATGGTTGAGAAAGAGATCGAATGAGCTATTAAAATTTTGTTCAGATAAGATTTCACCAATATAACGGTTGCACATCAACTCGACTTCTAATCTGAATGTGTCAGTAGAAAAATTGGCCATGTCACGTTTCATGCGTGTTTCTGTTTTAACTCTAGGACTGGATGAAGATAGTGTACACATAATAGGGAAATGATCAGTGAGATCACTAAGAATGATAAATGATGATGAACAAGATTTTATGGTGTTGGTGTAAATGTGATCTATTAAGGTGTGGGAGGATGAAGTTACTCGAGTGGGTCTAGTGATAATTGGAAATACAAAGTGGGACAAAAGCATATCTAGATAATTGGAAGTGGGAGTATCGTGGGTATCTAGGAGGTTGATATTGAGGTCACCTAGGATTAAAAACTGCTTTTTTGTCCTCGCTAACTTGTCAAATAAAGAAGCCATGGCTTCAGTAAAAGATGGAATATTGCGATGCGGATGCTTATAAATTACCCCCATAACTAAGCTTTGGGCTTTTGAGTTTGGTTGAGAATACTTGAGTTCAATCCACATGTCCTCACAATTTTGAAAAGATAAGTTGAAAGCTTGAACAATTTGGTATTCTATGTTAGTTTTGATATAAATACCTACACCACCAGCTTGCGTTGGGGAGGGGGCATGGATAAAGACGTAGCCAGGAATGTCCACATTGGTAACAGTGGACTGACTTTTGATTCTGGTTTCGCTCAGAGCGATAATTTGTGGCAGGGTACGGAAGTGAGAAATCAGTTCCATTAGATGATCAGCGTATTTACCCAGGGATCTAATATTAAGATGTAAGACAATGAGATCAGAGGGTAAAAAAGTGGACGTTTCTTTGTTTATAGAAGATATTTCTAGATATCGACACAGAACTGTAGGAACGTGAGGGTGGAAGCTTGTCGATTCCCATGAGCTAAGGTTAGAATTTAGTTAGTGGTATTGTTTAAACAGAATTTTTGCAAGAAAAATCTTGAGTATGAACACAAAAGCTGATGTGAAGAGGTAGATCAGGTAGCATAAGGGGCATATTGTGACAGAAGTCCCACTACAAGTATCATATAAACAGTTGTTAGAGAATCTTAGGTAATTCATTACAGAATAAAAGGGTGGCGTTTTTAGAAAAAATAAGAAAATTGTGACCAAGAGTAGACTTATCTTATTTTGTTCAAGTCCTCTTCATTAACAATAGGTAAAGTGTTGGTATCTTTATTCTTCCTCATCAAAACCTTGCCATTTGAAGTCCAAAGGAAGGCATATCCGCAACGTTTTTTGAGAAGTTTCGCTTGATAGAAGAGGTTCTTATTTTTATCAGTCAGGTTCTCGACAATAAATACTTTGGCCATATTTCTTATCGATGTTGTGTTGGCCGCAGATTTAATTAGGTGGCGGTTTTTTAAGATTTTGGAGCGGATTTTTCGGTTGGTGAATTTTGCCACTATGGGCTTATGAATTTTAGAGTTGCGAGTTGGAGAGCGATGAGTTATAGAGATGTCGGAAGGTTTTATTTCGACATTTATCATTTTACCTATTTCCATGACAAGATTATCAGTGTCTTCATTAATGTTAGGAGCAATACCGTGGGATTCAAGGTTGTCTAATCTGGATCGACGTTCGTGCTCCTCTATTTTTTCAGTGGCATAGAAAAGTTCTTCCTCAAGATCGTAGATAAGGTCTTCTAGATCCCGTATTCTTTTGCCATATTGGTTTAGGGATTCTTCTGTTACTTTTTGTTTGGATAAGATTTCATCATATTTCTCTGATTGAAAGTTTTGAGAATCTTTTTGAGAATCTTCTTGTCTTTGCCGTTCTTTGCTAGTTAGAAATTTGGTTTCATCACATATACTTGCTTTAAGATTTCAAGTGTAATTCGTTATTTGGATCAATTCGATTGTGCAACTTTACAATATAACAATTGGCATTCAATACATTGTGTGCTTTTTTGACCTCTGAAGGAGTCAAGATCGGAGTTACACTCTGTTAACGTGTGTTCAATAACACGGGAGTGTGGACACGCAGATAGGGTCGAATCTTTGTTGCCCTATAACATTACAACTACCGGTAGATTCAATTAATTCGTTCAACATATTTGTTCGTGTGTTTGGAATAACCATCTTACAACCGTACCAGATTCGTCATATCAAACCTGAAGTTCTTCATCTTTCGATCAGTCAAAACAGGTTTTATTTGGTAACTAAAAAAGGCCGCCTGGATTTTAAAATATAAATTTGTTTGAAGTTGCAGAGATATTTGCATGTAATGACGAACTTGGGAACTATTTCGAGAATTATTGTTTCAAGTACACGCTCCAACAATGTATGACTAAACTAAACTAGATTTAACGCACATCTCAATGCAGTATAGTATCGGTACGGCACATAAACACTGTCATAACATTTATTGTCCGGTTCCTTCTGCTCTTAATTCACCTTATAGCACGAGTCTCAAAAATCGCTGCCCGGGGGCCATTTGCGCCCCGCGGGACGATAGTTTGTGGCCCCCGCCTCAGTATGAAAGCTCAATGTTATTGTGTCACTTCGCTCAGTTCAGTTGTTTGGCGATGAATACATTTAAAATAAGTTCATTTAACGTCACAATCACTAATTACAGTATTATTATTTTCAGTTATTTTTCAAATTAGTCTCTCTCGTCTCAATTTGGTCATTTATGTTTTCAACTTGTTTTGTGTTAAAAGAAATTTGAAAAGATTTCAATTTTTTAAACTACGGTAAGCTTTCATTGTGTAAAACCTGATGCGGCCCGGATCCACCCAGACTCTGCCTCCAGTGGCCCTGGGTAAATTTATTTTGAGAGCCCTGTCTTATCGATATAACATCAGATTCAAAATGATTTTGCCTAAAATAAATTCGTCTTAGATTCTCCATCTCCAATATCAAAGGGTTTTCTTTCGGAAATTGCAGCCGGGCTTTTGAAATATAGATAATTCACTGATATAGAAGAGAGTATGTATCGGATGCTTCTTATACCTTGATTTAGACCAAAGGTTGGAAAAGTATTTGGACCACAGCCAAAAATTTTGCCCATCCAGACTGGCGGCCATGCAAGTATGACGTAAAAAGTTACATTTTATAAATAATATTTACAGTGTTATAAAAGGAAAAGTCGAAAACAATAAGCCACGTGCTAAAACTAAATTAAATCGCAATCTCAATCAATTCCTTGATCAATTTTTTAGCTGAAACATCCAAATTCGGTTTTACCTTGGTTGTGGCAGCATCGGGCGGGCCAGATTAAGTACCCAACGTGCCGGTTTTGGCCCGTGGGCCGTAGTTTGCCCATGCCAGATTTTAGACTCTACAAGACAACTTATACAAATCCCGTGAATTCCAAACATGAGCCACAAGTTATATTTGAATATCCAAATCACGTTTTCCTCTTAATATAACAGCAAACATCGGCCCAAGCGCTGCTATGTCGATCACTTTGGTTTAAATTACATTCTACAAGTCTATATATTATTATTTCATCATAAAATATCAACTAATCTCACACACTAAGAATCGAGATGTTACGATCTTCCTCTAAAACTGCCTCTCTTAGGTTCAGGCACAAAGTTTTGGGGGTTCCTAATTAGCACGTTATAAAACAAGGGTGCTGCTGTAGCAGGTCTACAAATCAACACTCCTTTGCCCTTTTCTGGACCAGTTTTTACGAGCCCTTTTCTTTTTTGGTTCGCAGTTTTTGGTCTTTGTCGAATTGTTGCATGTTTTTCTGCTATCATCATTTTGTGCTGGCGACGTACTGATTCCTTGGTGTCTTTGTCTGCTAGTGGGCCAATCCACGGTGCTGGATTACAATAAGATGGTGCGGGATACTCACTCACTGTACCTGTAATAAATATATTTTGGACTTCAGGTTGTGTTCCTTACTAATATTAGCGGCTTAAAGCCATAACCCATAACATAGATTTTCAAACCGTTTTGGTGTAGCAGAATACCAGAGGCTTAGGAACCCTATGAAATTGATTACAATAATTATGTGAAAACAGGGGTGACAACCTTTAATACAGACTGACCAGATACAAATAGCTGGGTGTAAACGCGGCCGCACCTTTATTCGACCTAAGCTTTCTGGTAGTTGCAGGAACAAAAAAGCATAGATAATAAATTGGGCTCAGGTATAGGCTTTGCAACGCAAGGGATTGGAATTACTCGCATGTACCAGATTTTAAACTAAATTGAAAATCTGTTTCGCGAGCCTCACACCATGAAAGACCAGCCCGGGCCACAAAATTTTTCCTTGCAGGTCACATTTGGCCCACAGGTTGCACCCCCTGATGTCAAATAGGTCAATCAAAAAAATGTGAAATGGCAATCTCACACCTGTAGGTCTTTAATGGAACACAAGCGAAACACAAATTTCATATGAATTTATTGTACCAGCGTATGTGTTCATATTTAAATAACATATGACTCTCAAACAAGACGGTAGGATTGTCGAACTAATACAGACTATGGAATTGGAATGGAAACTTGTGGAACCCATCGTCTGTACTGGTAAAATCCTAGCATATCTGTGGAAATTGCTGACCTAAACAGTTAATACGTTGAACATACTTTCAGTTCGTTTTTGCATCACATCCCAATGCGCTTCTAATTCAATCTACTGTTATCAGGGGTGTAGCTTAGAGGGAATGTTTCGAGGGTCAGATCCCCCTCCCCTTTTTTGAAATGTAAAAAAAGAAACATTTTTCTGTATCACACAGCATTGTTTCAGAACTTGAAACACTTTTTAGATCCTCAACACACTTAAAAAACCACAATTTCCTGCCTCTGTTCGCACCTGCTAGCTCTTATGGTCCAACTTGGCAAAATCCAGAAACCCTTTTTAAAATTTCCTGGCTTCGATTTTGACTCAGAAAGTTTGAAATAACGAAATACAAACAGGCCTGTACTGGAGTGTACTGCTACTATTTTATTTGCAAATCCCAGAATCAGTTGGACACTACCCGAATCATACTCTCAAATTATAAGATAACTGACTTCACAACAAATGTATCGGTCCATACTAAAGAGTAAAATTTTTTGTCAATTAGAGAAATATTCCTTCGACTTTGTGAGCCTGTTACTGACTTTTTCATTTCAAGCGATCTTACTATCAATCTCCATCCTCACCAATAATCAAGTTCAACCCCCCCCCCCCCCCCCCTTTCGAAAATTCCCGTCTACATCCCTGGTTGTTACCATATTACCCCAGCATGTCACAACTGGTCAAAGGTTTTATAAAAAAGCACTGCTATAAAGTGACTTGGACCTTTGATTCTGACTCGAAAAAATTGGAAATAAAGAAATACAACTAGCTAACTTCACAGACGTTGCAGCTATGACTGCAGAATTGAAATTTACTGCTAAAAGTCAGACTTTCAAATCCACAGAATCAGTCGGACTTCTCCAGAGGCATAGCTAAAAATTTGTTGGTTTGTTAGGTCAAAGTTTTCACTTTGAAGTAATGGACCGATACATTTGTCGTGTAGACATTTTTCAAATAAATTGGGAGAATGATAAATATTCTGTGGACTTTGTTAGTCTGTTACGACTTTTACATTTCAAGCAATCTTACTACCAACCACCATCAATAATCAAAGTAAAAAAAAGTTCAAACCTTTAAAACCTTGTCTAGGAGAAGCACATTGTTTTTCATTGACTTTTTTCAGCCATTCTTGAAAGCATTCTTCATTTTTCCTTCTTCTTTCATCCTGTTTCTGTTTCTCTTCAAGTTTTTTCTCTTTTCCTACGAAAATAAAATCTATAAATTCTTTCAATGTTACCCGCAAAGCAAAGAGGTTGATTTTCAAAGAAAAAGCAAGTTGGTCACATTATTATTTCTTTGCAACAAATTTTAATAAACATTTTTGAAATTTTAACACTTGCTTTTTTATCTTAAAATCTGAAAAAACATTGATTACAAGTTTAAGTAATGGCAAATCATATTTGCAGTATGTGGGACAGTATAACAATATGATTGATGATTTTTTAAGAAACACCTGAAGTCAGAATATATATTGTCAAACTTCAGTATCTCCTCGAAAGCCATCCTGAAATCATTTTTTTTTTAAAATCCATTTATTCATATGTCTTGGCAGATTGCAATTTTAAGACAGAAGCAGGCTATAAGCTACCACAGTTAAAACCAAAGTAGCAATGTCACATATTTCAGAAATGAACTGTTTTTGATATTGTGTCATTATGGACCAGGGAGCATTATTTGATCTCGGTTTCAAAGCTTAATCAGTTTTAGTTTTGATTCTAGGTAGAGCCTAATGTCCATTTTTGGCTGTACAGATACAAATACACAGAAATTTGATTTTAAGTGCAGGTTCTATTTTGTATTGAACTCGCTACTATAATTTCCCACATTTCACAAAGTGTATATATAAGGTGTCCATAAAGTCTTAAAAAAAATTTAAAATTACCAAGGAAATTTATCGATATTCGATACCATATATTGTTTTGGCCCTCACAGATGTATTAAATGAGGTAAAAATACTTGAACAATTACTGATTAAAAAACAACAAACCTGGTTAAGGTCGGTGACGTATATAGTCTATCAGCGTTTTTTGACAACGAGCGAGCAATCAGACTTTATAGTTCAGTTCATCGCTACGGCGTTTGGTTAATTTTCCGAAGTGTCTAATATTTACAATTATTAACAGAACCTGCACTTTTTCTAGCATTTATAGAACTACTGAGCAAGCGAAGGGAGATACGCCAACGTGCTTATCTTTTTCTCATTCATATTTAAGTCATTTTTGGTTTGTTTTGTGGAATATATATCAGCAACATTGCTTTCAATTAAACAACAAACAAATAATTCAATAAAAGCAATGTTCGACTGCGCTGCGTGCGCCGCTTCGCGGAATGGCTGCTTACCGGACCCGAAGTGAAGATTTGCTCCGCATTTCGCGAGTGACAGCACGGCGATGGCTAGGCAAGGTGCAATGACAAGTGTGTCCCTAACCCTCAGCATATTTTGCAGAAAATAACCTGGATTCTCGGACCAATTCTTTTCTTATTTATGCCATCACCCCGAATGACCATACTGAATACAACATTGTTTAACGCCAAGCACGATGTTCCAATTGCGGAGCAAATAAAAGATAATCAAATATTCAGCTACTCAAAAAGTGTCAACGAATCCAGAAGACTACACTCCTGTATTTCCTGAAGAACCATTATCCAGCAAGTACAATCACAACAGAAAATGTCGGTTTCACTGTAAGTTCCTGTTAAAGCGATGTCTATTTTGCTCTCCATATTATCTGGAGTAAGTATTTCATCGGAGTGAGAATATAAACTTTAAAAATAAATATACGTGTACTTGAAATGTTGAGGTATCAGCGAACCCTCTTTTTATCGGCGTTTAAAATGTTATATTCAGGTCTCGTATTATTTCATTTAACAACTAAGCAAAGGGTTGTGCTCTTTCAAGATACATTCAATTCATTGAGCTTTAAATATCTACAAACAGTCGCAGCAAATGGCTAAAATACACCACAGCTCACGGCTATAGCGTCATATTTGGCCTTTCAAAAGGTATATATCAGATTTATGTAAAATGTGACTAACGGGTTCCCAACAATAGATAACCTGTTTTCTTTTTTAATTTTGATTCCCACCACGTAGGGAAAATTGCATTGCAAAAATTTGAAACAACGTGCAAAAATCAATGTAAATGGATGAAGGGAAAAGTTTTTCCTATTTAGTTCAATTTCAAGGCTCTGAGTAACTTCAGATTTTGTTGAAGCCATTTATATTTGGATGGGCAAGATATTGAATATTTAAGAACTCACGAAATTTCACAGCAACAGTCTTTAGTGAGGATATACAGTAATTTTGGGAGTATAGGTACTGAGGGAGTGTTATTTTGTGGAAACGTGGTTTTTCACAATTCAAATTTATCTGCGCAAACTAAGCTCATACACGGACGGAGCCATTAGCAAAGGTCTCATAAAGTATTTGCACAATAAACTTACAAGTCTTCTGCCCCGGTTTTTGATATTATATATACTTGAAATTAAGAGCCCCAGGCTGGCGATCTCGTATAAATAAAATCAAGAGTGGGATGAAAATAAGTACATCCGCTCAAATAGGGTTTCATCGCAACCTGACTCTATTGGATAATTTTCAATCAAAACGTCTTTAAAAGACCAGTATTTTAATATATATACTTATGATTAGTTGATTCGAACCGAACACAAAAAGTCTACGCGACCGGGGCGCTGTGAATATTAGGATAAGAGGTCTATCTGTATGGTCTTCGGTATCTAAAAGCCCTAAATGAATTCTCCCGTACTGAAACGTATCTACACTAAACACTAATAGTGGACTATACGAAAACCGTCGACAGCTATGGCTTGGGTGGTATTAGCATAAAAAGCGTTTCATCCACAGTGAAATAGGGTTTTTGGCAAGTATATATATATAGTGGTTCCATTACATTTGAACCCACGTACATTTGAATCCACGACAATTGCACCTGCATACTATTGCACCTATGGAAATTTTTTTGTTTTACGGATATTTGAACCCATACTAACCCTAACCGATGGGTTTTAGTCCCTGCATATAGATTGAACCCGCGGATATACACATGGGTTCAAAAGTACATGTTTCAAATGTAAGTGGGTTCAAATGTACGGTGACGTATATAGTCTATGAGCGTTTTTTGACAACGAGCGAGCAATCAGACTTTATAGTTCAATTCATCGCTACGGCGTTTGGTTAATTTTCAGAAGTGTCTAATATATACAATTAGTTGTTTTTGTTTTGAATAGTAAAGTGACGGGCCAGTTGATGTACATTGTGAAGTAATTATTTAATTTTTTATTACCCTTCATATGTTTTTAGCTATTATGGTAAAATGAGAATTAGGACAATTAATAAAGTATAGAAAAAGTCGGATATTTTTGAGCTGATCGCATTTTACCAAGCTCCCCCATCTCACCAGACCAGGTTTTACTTTATTTTTGAAGAAATATTTGGACCGATAAAAAATATTTGGTTACTTTTCTTATGCTATGTCATTGTTACTTCTGCTGCTGCATTACCACAGACATATATTTTATATTTTGTAACCTTCTCCGGAGAAATATATGAACTACATGTTAAGGCAGTCAGGCTACTCAAATACCAGACCTAATAAAGTTTAAAAGAGAGATTCACAATCATATGTAGATGAAATGCGAAGAGTAATTCTTTGCGAAGTTCATGAAATTGTCAGCTTGTGTTTTTGTTTTGCTAATTTACTACTGAGGATTTCTCTTTTTTGCTTGTCGGTTTTATTGTTTATGTTATCACAAACACTTTGAAGTTATCATCAAGTGCCTCTTTACAAATATTGTTCTCAAACAATTGCTTCGAAACAGCACGCATGAAGCTTTATTTCTTTCGCAATAAGGCTACATCAAATATTTAAGCCTTGTATATTTGGTATATTCTGAAGTTGGATGATCTCGTTTCCGAGGCCTCGCTCGCGTAGACAGTATACGTTGTAGACATTATAAACGGGTTGCAGGCAGTATAAATTAAATCTGGTATCCCACATAAAAATAAAAATAAATTTGAAAATTGTTTAGTTTTTTCAGGGCTATCTAATGATCTGATTATTTGTTTTTTATGAAGCTTGATTAATAAAATAAATGAAAACATAAAATTAAAAATTTTCACAAAAAATAAAGCGATGAATAGTGCCGTTTTCCGAAAAAACAACAACATTAAACTAGTTATGACAATTGGGTCACAAAGATATTTATCTTTTCATGCACAGAAAATCGCATGTTGTTTGCATTTAATTTTTTCGAGCAACAAAGCGGTAAAGTAGGCAAAATTTTTTACTTTTTTGCCTGTGTTGCCGCCGAACGACGCACCTATATTACGTCATGATGATCGTACGTTGTTGCGTAACTACAACGTGTCGTCGTGCGTGTTGTCGATATCGCGGTCTCCAGCTGTGCGTCGCGGTCACGTTGTGATGTGACGCCAGTACTTATCATAGAAAGGGTATGCCCGATTCGTTCATAAACATGACGAAAGGCCAACTTAGAAGGGCGATGATGCCGTCTTCCTGCGATCAAACAAAATTTTATCCTGTACTTGGCATGATACGTAGAGAGTGGTTATCGACAATTCACTCCAACTCCTACTCCTCCTACAGAAGTTCGTTCACATAATACACGAAACGGTACTAGAAGCGTGAAAAAGCCCTTGTGTATTGAAAATTACACACGGTACATGGGTGGGGTCGATCAAATGGAATGAAAACTAATTTTTTCCCTCACAAAGGACCAGAGTGGTATTTCCGAATCTTCGATGCCTTGATAAGCCTTTAATTACATGGTAAATGCACATATGCTGTAGAGTTGAGTCCGAAAAGATGGAAAATAGTTTTCCATCTTTCAGGACCCCACACTACAGAATATGTACATTTGCCTTGACTTGTTGAAACCTCGCTCTGAAATAAGTTCACCAAGCCCATGCCAACTGTCAGTAAATGCACTAAAGGCCAACTCTACGAAAAAAATATCATGATTGCGTGCAATGTTCGGATCTAGAATCTCGACGAACAATTACCAAATATTTTTGCAGGGGTTGTGGTATTGCTCTTTGCCCCGCACTATGTGCAGAGTTGTATCACGTGAAAATACACAATTGTTGATGGTCCCTTATCGTTGTCTACTGTTCCTTCCCCTCAATTTTCTGTTTATTTCCATTCCCCCCAAGTTTCTTTCATATTTGTACTTTTTATATTTTCTAGTGTTTGTGCAATATACAATTGATCACCGCATCAATACCAAAAAATAATCGCCATTTGCCGCTTAACATTATTATTTGGGTGTCTCAACTTTTTGACCATCGCTTTGTTCTCTCTGCTGGCGCCACCATGTCGCCATAATCGCACGCTGCGTAATAACGTCAGTTACGTCGTCAACGACGTCATCGTAATCGTAGATCGTGCGTCGACGCAACCCGTGACCTTGACAAGTACGCAGGTTACACAATTTAATCGTGTGAAACCATAAAGATACCAATGACATCCAAAAATGGCAAACTTAATTGGCTATAACTCAGCGACAAATAAAGATGTAATATTTATTTTAGAATCGATAGAAAGATATTTAAACAGTGCACAATTTTGTTTAGCAAGCGAGTACTTTGCTCCATCTTGCATACATTAGGATGCAATTGCGTATGAACCAAGCATAGCCAATATCGAGTTTTTTGAAAAACTCGGTCTATTTTGCTCATTTTCACAAAATTTTCAAATAGCAATTATGTATTTTTATTTGCCAGTTACTCAGTTAGCAAGGCAATTGATCGCAGTTTCTGTCGATGTGAGTATTGTTAAAATTGATCCATCCGAAGTCGAGATATTGTGCAAGAAAGGGAGTCAGCTGCTTGGGCCACTATAGTGGCCCGTGGCAGCGAAAGCGTTGTATGTCTGAATAAAAATGAACAACGACCGTTCAATTTGCAATGGCAACAAACAATCGTACCGTCGTCGTGTTCGCAAGTCAACTGGTTTCATTTAAACAATTTTTCTGTTTCCTTTTATGCTAGTATACCGACATTTGGAATTTCTCTTCGATAAAACGAATATCACTTCACCTCAAAATCCCACTCTTGTTTTATTTTGAAGGTGACGTTAAACTCGTCCAAAAGAAAACTCTTTCTCTAGCATATCAATCACCTGTTGACCACAGCGTTAAAAGTGAGAACTTTTTCTCGAAATTTTTGAAATTTCTCTCTTCTTACCGGCATATTGGTTGAATTTACTTAGTCCGGCCCCCCATTGCATTTTGAATATTCAATGTGGCCCAATTGCAAAAATAAATGCCTAGCCCTGCTCTAAAGGAACTAGCTAAGTGCATTTTAAGTATTTTGTGGCGTCTGAAGCTGCCGCAAAGCCATGGCGGGAATTGCTAGCCATGGCCAAACCCATGGCGACTGATTTTTTATGTGTCACAAACCAATGGCGAGCTGCCGTTTCCACAGCAGTAAATTGAAAACCAATGGCGGGTAAAATTTTGCTGCCGTAACCACGGCATGTCGGCTGTAATGGCAGTGCTGCCCCTGATGGTGATACATATTGGGTAAGTTGGAACATTCTTTTTATGGATACAGTTTTAATGGATTTTGGACAAGATTTCAGGTTAAAGTAGAGATATGTAGTGATATACTAAAATCCGGTACATGACTTTTCTAGTATGATAATGTGGGTTGATATTAGGTTTCCATATTTTGAGTGAAATAAGTTT